GGTTATGGGCCTACACGCTTCTACTGTGTTTTAAAATTCCTTCTTCTCCTTTTTTTTTTTTTGGTAAGTTCTTATTTTATTTTTTTGGTAAGTTAAATTTCCTTTTGTATTAGAGAAAACCTTTGGTCATAGATTATGGGCCTATATTTTTTTTTTCTTATCACCCTGTGTTTAAAATAATTGTACAAATAAAAAAATTAAACAATTCATTATTGAAACAAGAGAAGACAACATCTGGGTTAATTGGCTTGCAAATAGGATCTTGAGATTAAAAGGATTCAGTTATTTATAATAAATTTGTTTCTTTAACTAATAGTTTAGCTTTATTATTTCTGGATAATCTTTTGTTTATGAGTAAATTCCGGGTAGATTCAATCTCTTAATTTTTTTTTATTGTTTTTTTTTTCAGTTTTCTCTTTATACTAAAAAGAAAAAGTAAACTAATTTCATTACAGGAATCATGTTTGGTTGAAAAAAAATCTAACAATAAAAAAAAACTATTAACAGAAGAATTAGTTCTCTTAATCAGGAACAATTATTAATGTTCTCTTGGATTGTTATTGTTTGTGGTTCTTTTGTCTTAGTTCATGATTTCCTTATGCATCACCTTGTATGGGTGCTGTTAACAAATAACAATACTGGGTGCACACATGCATGGCCCGCTTTCACAACCTCACAACCTATGTTGCTTCGACACCAACGCCGACACGAGGCACGAGATACAATACGACACAATATTCTGACACGTTAATTTTAAAAAATGTTAAATTTCGATACGTTTGGACACGTTATGATATTATATAATATTTTTAATTTATGTAGTGTATATTATATTTAGTATTCAATAATTTACCCAAAAAATAAAGCTAAACTTATAATACCCATCAATTTTGCAAAGAAACATAATATATTTCAAATGTTTGTATTAAACTCAATAAAATTGTAATCGTAATCTAAGGAATCTAATAGTTGAAACTCAAAATGCAACGCAACGTAACCTTTGAACCTTTTTTTGAGTCTTTGCAACAAGTATTGGAATGTCGGGAAGTGTCAGTGAGTGTCGGAAAGTGTCAGACACGACACGTCAGAATTTTTGAAGTGTCGGTGATTCATAGCACAACATCTCACTTTGACGGGCATTATTGGTTAGGAATTAATAGCATATAATGGTGGTTGCTTAATTAATTTATTAAAACAATAAAATTATTAACATATATATATATATATTATAATTTCTAATTATTTAAAATTATTAAAATATACGAAATTATTTTTTTTTCCTAATTGATTATAACAAAAATAGTATGTATTAATTTTTGTTCATTAAAAATAATTATTTTGAGTTTTATTCTTTATCAAATGTACCAAACATATTATTCCATTCTAATAATACGAAATACATACAATGTGGGAATAATCATTAATTTTTTTTATGCATAATTGTATTATTTTAAAATAAATAAATCTATCACTAGCTATTTTGCTGCAAAAACTTGAAATAAAAAATATACTTAAATGATTCCACAGAACAATTATTTTTTCTCGTGCTCACAATTTTATAAATGTTTGAAATAATTACTAAATGACGCAAATACTAATATTGAAGAAAGAAAAAGAAAATGATTGGATAAGTATGGGATTGGAATTGGGATCTTAGAAATTAGGAGGCCCGCCTCACATGTTGTGTATTTGAATAAAGGTTAGCAAAATTAATTTTAGGTGATTTTGATTTTACAAAATTAATTTTGAGATCTAAATAGCTATTTATATGAGAAATACTAGCAGGCACTCTTTTAAACATGCTTTTCAATATTTGGTAAATTTTACGTGAGTTTCATTAAATAGAAAATAGATCCGAATTATTTATTGAGACCTACATAAAATTTACTCAACCATTCGAGAAGAGTAACATGCATTCCTCTAATTTACATTCGAACACCGTTAAAACCGAAACATTTTTTGTTTGATAAATAAACAATAATTTTATTCTTTTAAAATTGTTGATTTGTAGTCTATCGATGACGCATTTCAATTTTACCAAATAAAAATGAAATAAATGTAAATGGTCCTCTAAATATAGTATAAAGTAGTGAGGACGCCTATACGACCCAAATCACATGTTCAGCTAGTTATTCAATTCAAAGGCTAATCCAAATCATTGACCTACATCACTAAAATAAACTCAATTTGCATTAAAAGTCGCTGAATAGCCAATTAACTATGGGAAAAATAAAAATAAAAAATCTTGAGCTCCCTAGAAAGTGCTGCAATTGGACAACCATACAAAGTTTCTTTTTCAAGTCATGACTTGAAATATATACTATTATTTTATAAATATTAATTATATTGGATCTAATTGATTGTGTAAGTCTTGGAGCATCAAGCTCAAGCATTGAAAAAGTCTTGGAATATAGGAGTTAGGTTAGCTTTTAAGTATAGAGGTAATAATTAACAATTTATATTTAGACCAATAGGAAAGAAGTAATATTACATGCTAACCCTTTAACAAGTAATATTGGTTGAAGATTTTAAATAAGACTGTTTCTAGAAAAATTAAGTTACGGCAGATAAGTTATCTGCATTAAGCCTAATACGACGTCGTTTTGAGACGGAAATTATGGTGTTGTTGTGATTTTAATTTATTTCAGAGTTATAATAGTCTTTATATTTGTAATTTTTTAAGATTTCAATACCAAAACGACGTCGTTTTGGAAATAAATGCAGATAATTTATCTGCATTAACTGCAGAAATATTTTTTCCAAAAATTAAATGTGCATAATGGAAAGGGTAAAACAATTCATATATAAGTGAATATTACTTGACCTCCAATTTCCAGAAGCTACAGGGCTCCAAGAGGCACTTCCATTAATATCCTATGCCTATATGGTTGAAAACTTTAGGGGTTAATATGACTCTTTACCATAGTGCGAAATTTGAAAGACAAGCTTCCAATGCCATAGGCTGGTATTAAATAATTATGTTTGGTGTGAAATCTAAATATTTTAGTCTAACAAGCTTTAAAACTCTTGAGTTACTTAATTTCTAACCAATGCGTATATGTATGTATATTTTATGGGAAATAATACTCTCATGCTACATGAGATACTCTCATTTTTCTACACAAATTCATTTTCTGTGCCAAATAATTTTTCTTTTCTTTTTTGATATAAAATATGAGACCCACATTTAACTTCTCTTTACTTTTTTTCTCTTCTACAATCCTACAACATAAGAAAAATTAAACTCATATTTTATAATCAAACAATCATATTCAAGTACTAGAAATATGGTTTAAATAATCAAAGTTTCAAATGGATGACATCTTTGATCGTATCAAATCAACTAAAGGGTATTACATAACACACTCAGATCCCGAGACCGAGACACACACTTTGGGACTGGTCATAATTTTATATGGATTGAGTTATCCTAACATAGAAGTTATTTGAAAAAAATATAGTTAAAAGTTGTTTATTTGAATGCCACCGAAAGATCTACAATGTTTAATTAGAGTCTACGGTTTGAAAATGTAACAGTGACGGTAATTAACGACCCAAAACTCGTACTTTAGTTAAACAATCATGCCGGCGCATTAATTGCTAACGTAGTTGTCATAACTTTTATGACCACTGTTTGGCATCCTTTGAAAACTTGTTTTAGTTATTTCATAATATTGTATGATGAGGCTATAAATGAGCATGTGATTTTATGCTCAATGAAGATGAATCAGACTTAATAAGTCTTGATTTTTTGATATATAAATAATGATTTACATGAGAAATTAATACTCATAAGACACATTTTTTTTTATATGACGGTGGCATCGAGATTTGAATTTATGACCTTATACAGACTATCCAAATCCCTTACTACTAATCTAATTCTAATGGCTTAAATTAGACACTCTTTTAAACATACTTTCTATTGTTTGGTAAATTTTAGGTGAGTATCATTAAATAAAAACAAAATAGATTCAAATTATTTACCGAGACCTTCGTATATAAAATTTAGTCAAACAATTTGAAAAGAATAGCATTCCTCTAATTTACATAATTAGAACATCGCTTAAAGAGAAATAAATAATAATTTTATTCTTGAACAATTGTTGATTTTTATACTATAGATGATGTACTTATATTTTACTAAACAAAATTGAAATAATTGTAAAAATGGTCCTCTAAGCATAGTATAAATTTTTTTTTTATCGTGATTTTAAGATACATATACTAAACATTCATAAGAATATATCTTAGCCTAACAAAGTGATTACTGTGTTGCTTGAGAACTGTGCTTGTGTACTTATATTACAAGAATAAACATTACATATTAAACATTACATATTGTATAACAAAACAGGCCGTTTGAAAGAACATAATGACTGGTATCAATTTTTAAATCAATTTGTACATAAATGATTTAAAACACCATGTAATATTTAATTTAATTATCTATTGCATTCATGGAAAGGAGGTCAATGGCAATGGACAGCAGAGCAATAGTTTACAAACAGCGTATGGTATGGACCGCGTATTTGACAGTGAAATAAGGCTACAACCATTGACAAAGACACAGATGTGTTCACTCGATCGCTGCCAAGGCTAATTGCATGTTGCAACTTTGACTGAATAGCCATGTGACATCCCAATGACCATTACAAATTAAGCTTCAACTATATATAGTATTAAGTAATACACAATTTGTGTGTTTCTTTTCCCACTCAATATCATTTATGACTTAGATTTCGGGAATCATATAATTAATTTAACAATGCAATGATAATAAAATAATCCCAAAAATTAGCTTAGCAATTGGTGTTGACATTTGAAAGTGTTGCTACGTAATGTAGGGTAGATGAGCTCTGGGATCTCTAGTTGTTTATAGTTTATACCTTGTCTAGCACAGTTGATTGGTATTATAATAGGGTGTGTGTTGTTATGTGTGGCATGGGATTATGTGAAATTGAAGGAGCTCTATCAGAGAAATAATAATGGAATTAGCCATGTCAAAAAAGTCTAGTCCTAGTGGTTCAGAGATAGAAGAGAAGAGAGTTACTTCCATTTTCCGTGAAGATGATTTCTGTGTTCAAGAGGTTAGAATGGGACTCCAACCCTTTGCCTCACCATTTGTTTCATCTTGTGAAACTCTTAACTGTTTCTGAATAATTTTCTTTGTCTTATGCCCAAAGAGTCATTTAAATGCGTGTGAGAGATTAAATTGCAAAAAAACATCAATAGTTTTTCGTGAATTTCTTTGAATATTGTGTGCTAAATACAAAACAAAGAAAAAAAGGCTTTCAGATTTCAATTGATTTTTTTTTTTTTTTCAGTTTGCTGTTTCTCAGGATACCCTTTGCATCATATCATCATATGAATAGTTCAATTAAATTTTTATTTACATAATTAGATAATAAACATAGAAGGAAGCTGCTCAAAGAGTTTACGTCATATATATATTATGCACATATAGTTTGAATTTCACATCAATCAGCAGGAGGGGGTTTGGAACCACACTGTTAGGCATAAAATATATGGCAAAATTAATAGTACAAGGTTTTCTTCTAGTTTCAAATTTATTGGTTGCCTTTGAAATAGACATTGTCTTCTGCTATTGAACCCGTGGTTCCTATAGTCAGGAATAATAGGCTGATTTGTTATTATTACTACTATTGTTTTGAAATCTAGGAAGATAAACTCAAATCTGCTACAGCTGAGATGGGTGAGGTGAAAGAAGAAAATGAGAGATTGAAGATGATGCTAGAGAGAGCAGAAAAGGACTACCACTCCCTTCAACTCCGTTTCTTTAACATCCATAACAAAGAAGTTCCTAAGAAAGGTGTAGCTGATTCAGCTACTTCCCATGATGAAACTGAAGAAACTGAGCTTGTGACACTTTGCCTTGGAAGAAGTCCAACTGAGTCTAAGAAGGAATCAAGAATTGGAAACTCTAACAAACCTAAAGATAAAGAAGATCTTGAAGCAAACCTTACTCTTGGATTAGACTCCAAATATCTGTTGTCAATGGAACTGGTGTCTGATTTGAGTCCTATGAACAGCTCAGAAGAAACAAAAGAAGCAGAAGCAGAGGGAACATTGTCAACAAATAAATCAGTAAAAGTGAAGAATGTAAATGATGAAATGTCAGATCAGATGCCTGCCAAGAGAGCCAGGGTATCTGTCAGAGCTAGATGTGATACTCCCACGGTTAGTATCAATCAAGAACTATATTACCATTATCATATTCTTGAAGATTTTAATGGTTTTGTAAATTTTTCTTGTCTAATTGTGATATATATATATATATATATATATATATATATATATATATATATATATATATGTATATGACTTTCAAACAGATGAATGATGGATGCCAGTGGAGGAAATATGGACAGAAGATATCAAAAGGAAATCCATGTCCACGAGCATACTATCGTTGCACAGTTGCACCAGCATGTCCAGTAAGGAAACAGGTATCTATATGCATTACATTTATATTCTTGTAAGCAAATTGAAGTTGTTGTTTCAAAGATATATATTGAGTCAGAATACCTCAAATTTAATGAATGTATGACTTCAGGTGCAAAGATGTGCTGAGGACTTGTCCATCTTAATCACCACATATGAAGGAACTCACAACCACCCACTTCCAGTTTCAGCCACAGCCATGGCATCCACCACTTCAGCTGCTGCTTCCATGCTCTTGTCAGGTTCTTCAACATCTCAACCCACAGGTCACAATTCTACATCTTTTGGAAATTCTCCTTCAGTACTCAATGGTCTTAGATTCAGTCAGCAGTTTGATGAATCAAGAGCAAAACATGTTTTCTTACCAAACCATGCCTCACATTTGTTCCCAACAATCACACTAGACCTGGCTTCCCAACAATTACCTTCAAGCATTGCTTCAAACCCAAGATTTTCTCCAAATTGCCTCAGCTTTTATTCCCCTGAGCCTAACTTCATACCATCATCCATTTGGGGCAAGGGAATCCCTAATAATGGCACAATGCCTATTGACAAAACCCAAATAAGGCCAGTTTTAATGGGAAACCATTTACAAGAACATTTCTATCAACAATGCATGGCAAACCAAACTCCTTCAAGGGATGCATTGGCAGAAACAATAACCAAAGCAATCAGCACAGACCCAAATCTTCGCTCTGCAATAGCTGCAGCAGTATCATCAGTGGTGGGACAAGGATCAAACCAAGGAGGAGGAGAGATTCTAGGTCCAGGGTTGAACTTGAAACATGGGGAACATCCTCAAATGGCTTCATCCAATCCTTTGAACCAGAATGGAAAAGGATGCTTAACAGGCTACATTAAAAGATTGTCCTCTACAAGTTCTCAAGCTGGAAACTTCATGCTTCTCCAACCCCAATTGCCATTTTCTCTCTCCATGAGTAGCACAAGCACACCTCCTTCCATTGTTAATCAGATCAATCATTCAGTTCCAGAAATGAACACACATCATTAGCTATCTCTTTCTCTTTGACTTGGCCAAGGTTCATGGTCTTATTATTACATGTCTAAATAGGACCCCACAAACAGAAGATTAAACTCAGAACAAAAAAGAACAGCCAGAAATCATTGTTGTCCCCGCCATAACTAGTCATTGCATTGCATTGCATGCCATTTTTGTAACATTCGAGCAACTGCTCAGACACAATAGACAACCTAATTGCTGAAATTACTTGCAGAAGAAATACAAAAAGCCGCGTAAATTTCATCATTTTGATTGCTATAAAATCAACTAACCACGCAGAACAAATTATTGTTTTTTTTTTTTAATTTGGTATTGTTATTATTTTGCATGCCATTATGCTGACTTTTACAATAAGCTGGTTTCGTATTTTTGGAATAGGCTAACTATCAAACTTATTAAAAAAACGTGGTGCATATAAAATTGAGGGATTTAATGTTTCTAATATTATTACTATCAAAATTTTTTACTATCAACTCACTACCTATCTAATCACCATTGGATCAACATTTTTTCTTTTTTCAAAAACTTTTTAACATTCTTTTTCTTTGATTTAATGATGATTAGATAGGTAGTGAGTTGATAGTAGAAAATTTTGGTAACAATAATATCCTCCCTATATATATATATATATATATATATATATATATATATATATATATATATATATATATATATATATAAGTATATGAAACTCATATTTTCACTTTCTCTCTCTTTTATATAGACCTCGTATATTTTTATGTATGTGTTTCTTTTATGTATGTGACTATGTGTTGAAGATAAAATTATCATGATAAATATTACACCCATAAAACTGATAATACTTTTTAAGATTTAATTTACGATATTTATCATCAGTTGAAGACCGACCTAATGATTAGTATATCTTTAGAAAAATTAAAAGTAGACATATGTTCTTAGTACGATATTACCTTCTGCTGTTAGCACTAGCACCATTAAAAGTTGTTTTTGGATAATTACCAAAAGAAGAAGAAGAAGAAGTTGTTTTTGGATGAATTTTAAAAAATAAAAATAAAAATTCTTTTCGCGCTAGGTTTATATGAAAGCAATTTTAATAAAAAGCAAAAGCTAAAATGATATTTTTTTTTTAAGTCAAGATTTTTTAAGTCTGAAGAAAGATAAAAGATTATTTTTTATATAAAATTGGATTTTGAATAAAATAATTTTCTCTTTTGAAAAAAAAAACTCTCCTAAAAAATCAATGCATAATATTTTTCGCGCTAAAATGATTTTTTTTAAGTCAAGATTTTTTAAGTATGAAGAAGGATAAAAGATTAATTTTTATATAAAATTGGTTTTCGAATAAAATAATTTTCTCTTTTGAAAAAAAAACTCCCCCAAAAAATCAATACATAATATTTTCCTCCAAAACTCATCCAAACTTTGTCCAAATATAGATAAATGTGATAAATTATATTTACAAACTTTTTATGTATAAACTCTTATAAATTATATTATATAAAATAACATGTACTATAAGTAATACATAACGATATTAAAAAAAAGTAATACATAATATAATTTATAAGAATTTATAAATAAAAATTTGAAAATATAATCTGCCCTAATAAATAATCTCGATTCTCGTGTTTTCTATTGATATTTGAATATAGCCCATGGGTTTCAGCAGGTTGAGGAGCTCTGCCGTCACCATATTAATTGAGTTCAAACCCTGAATTACGAAAAAGTAAAAGCTGCCGAAAAGAACCTTACCGTATAATAAAAAACACAGGCAGAGTGTCATTATTACAACAAAAATCTAATCAGAGATTAAAAAGTATCTGTAGATGAAAATTTTGGTGAAAATGAAGTAAATATTTTTGGTAGATATAATTGAGCATACTTAAATTTTGCGTACGTAACATATTCTTTAAATTTAATATAATAAAAAAATTCTATTATTCGATAATGCCTTATCGAAGAATACAGAACCAATAGAAAATTGCCTAATAAACTAATAATGAAATTAATGCCTGTTTTCACCAAAAAAAAAAAAAAAAAAAGTTAATGCCTGTGTAAGAAGATCTCTTTATTCCTGTTTTTGGTAATACTTATTTAACGTATATGGTCACACTGAATATTAATCAATAGAAACTTGGGCACATAAGTTGGGATGGTAAAATGAACCGAAGCTTATGAACGTATGTTGAGAAGGATCGATGTGATTTTGAATTCGATCTCAAGATTCATATTTATAGAAAAAATAAGTACCTGACTTAACCCTGAAAGAATAATCTCTCGGATGAGAAGAAACACGCACACAGATTGCATTGGAAAAATTATTAAGGAATTTTTGTGGAGTTCTCACCCATATCAGATTGAATAGGAAAAATGAGAACGTGTTTATGTACAAAAGATCGTGGCTGAGATGAACTATAAGACAATAATTCGTTTCCTCCTACCCAAAACTTTATCAGAAAGAAATCAACATCTGAGATTCCATCATATAAAATCAATAAATGGAAGAATACAGATTCAACTGTTAGAAATAAATTTTTGTTATTTTCACTAATCAGTGAGATCGATTTGAAAAGCCACATAGGAGTTTTCCATGAAAACAGCCAAGTAAATTGCTTTCACCATTTCTGTTATTGTTTAATGTAGCCCTCTCTCCCTAGCAAATTGCACAACATAGAGTTTTGTGCAGGCACAATGTTACAAAACCTACAAAAAAGAAAGAATAGAGAAAGTTTCATTTCAGATCAATCTAAGATTGGACACTGTAGTCCATGCGAATTTCTTTCTAATCAAATGGACCTTACTATTATTGGAAAATAAAAAAGGTAAACAAGAAGTCATTACCAATGTCTAATCTGCAATTATCTTTAGACATGGGAACTATGAAACCTTCAATAGTTCATGGAATGCTTCTTGTGGTATATCAACAGAACCAACACGTTTCATTCGCTTCTTTCCTTCCTTTTGCTTCTCCAATAGCTTCCTCTTTCGAGAAACATCACCACCATAACACTTGGCAAGAACATTTTTCCTCAGTGCGGAAATCCTACAATAAATGTAGAGACAGTTTCAGCATAGCAGAATAGATGACCTAAGGCATGTGAATAAATTACTTAACCCTTCCTCCTTTGCCTTTGTTAGGGGCCTTAATATCCATATACCAAAAGGCTAACGGAAATAAGATGACTGAGATAATCACTTTCATATCAGAAGCTAAATGTTTTACAGCAACCATTCCAAAAAGACACGTTAGCCTAATACTTTAAAAGAAGCTTACGTCTCCCTTGCTATAATTTTTGACCCAATGGCAGCTTGTATGATTATCTCAAACATTTGCCTGATCAAAATTGAGAGAATTTTTGGGATTAGCTTAAACTAAAGAAGAGGCATGAAACAGATAAAATTAATTCTTAAACTAAAAGACCTGTCTATGACTTTCTTCAATTTCTCCACCAGTTCACGCCCAACACGATATGCTTTCATGTTATGAACAATGGTTGCCATCGCATCAACTGGTTGACCATTCAAGAGAATATCAAGTTTCACTAGATCAGATTGTTGATAGCTGAAATTGTACCCATTGAATATATTATAAGATAGAAAGTATGCCACTCCAAATTTACAAATTTACTTTTTTGTACAATTTGATGACATATGACAGCCAATAAATATATAATATATCATAAATTATTTACCAAACAAAAGTAGATGGGAACGGGTACAGTATATCCACCAGGTATCACAACTTTTCTATACCAATCTACATGGACATATACCAGATAATTGTTTCAAACTACACACAGTACAATATATCATCAATGTATGAAAGCAAATAGGGGTGGGTGCACAACGATAATCATGCACACAGTTATAGGGAGAGGAAAATGGGACAGGAGTACTTACTCTGAATCCTCATAATCAAATGATGCATAGCCTGATGTTATACTCTTCAATTCATTATAAAAGTCAATGACGATTTCCCTCAAAGGCAGGCGATACTTCATGAATACCCGTTGACTGCAGGAGAGAAACTTAAAGGATCATTGCTTAAACCAGAGACAAATTCAAGGATAGACATAAAAAACAGTATTGAAGGATCATTGAGCATAACATCCCTAGCAAATCACATAATTTTCATGATATGTATTTATTGATTGATATACTAACGAAATGGAAATTCTTGCAAAATTGTACCTGTCAATGAATGAGTACTCCAATTGCTGACCCCTACGCTCAGAGACAAGGGTAATAACAGGTCCCACATACCTTAGATCACCCATAAATTAAGATAGCGAATATCAGCTCTGAAAGCAGCAAATAAATTATACGCAGGGTTGTACAAGAGCTTACTCACTAGGAGTGATTATAGTAGCTAATACTGTAGGTTCCCAACAGGCTGTCACTCGTTGCTTGGGATTAGAGGGTAATGAAGCAGGATTTTGAACTTCTAATTTGCTGAAAAGCACACCTAGAATATTAGTAAGTCACAGTGGAACATAGCCTGACAAACTCAACTTTGTTGTCTACCTTCCATCAGAATACTCGAATATATATGGCACAGTAGGAACAGTTGAGATAATATGAGCTCCATACTCCTGTTTACACAAACATAATATTTGTCACCATGTTTGCAAACAGGGGCAAAAAAATTTAAGTTCCTTAGAAAAATTTATCGAATTTCCAGACACATGGCTTACATACAAAGTTTGGTAATTCCAGGACATATCAAATTCACAATGCTCATGAAGCATACATACAATTCAAAAATTCTGAAGGTACATTTGGTATCTATATACAGGGTTATGTTACCTGTTCAAGTCGTTGATGAAAAACATCCATGTGTAGAAGGCCTAAAAATCCACACCTGATTGAATATAAAAAGAAATATAAGAAAGCTATTCGATATGAATTTAGCTACGTTTCAAATTTTAGCAGAACCAAATTTCCGTCCCATTCTTTTAGCAGTAGATACCAGACCTGAACCCCAGACCTAGAGCAGTGCTACTTTCTTTAGTAATAGAGACACTGGCATCATTGCATGTCAGCCTCTCTATTGCATGATTGAGTGCTTCAAAATCAGATCCATCAGCTGGATAAAGACCAGAAAATACCATATGTTTTGCTGGCTTGAAGCCTACAGTTTAAAATTATCAAATAATTTAAAAACAAGACATTTAGAATAAAGAAATGCACCCATAGATACTATAAAAGATAATGCATACACTGGGCGAAAGAAAGAAGAGTAAATATAATATCACATCAGCTTAATTATTTAGGTAGTTATTTTTTAAAGAAAAACATAATAATGGCAACAATGAAATGAACTCACTCCATTTTCCGTAAGTCCATTACCTACACAAGTGTTTCAAAAGTGACCGAGGTTTACATGATTCAAGAAATTATATGCAGTAAAGAGCAGTATGAATTGCCTACATGCATGTGTCTCACAACCAACTTAAATGAATAATAGATGACAAGTAATTTTACAGTTTCCAGCAAAAATGTTAACAAATTAATATCTGAAGATGGGCGGTAAAAGATGACACTTATACCTGGAAGTGGCTCTACCATGCTCCGAGCATGGTAAATTGTATCTCCAACACGTGCCTCTTTGGTTGACCGCATGCCACTTACAACATAACCAACTTGTCCAGTAAGCAAGATTCCAGTAGGTGTGAGTTCAGGATGCATGATGCCTATATCCAAAGCTTCATATGACTGACCAGTAGCTGCAGAAGAAATCTTATCCCCTTTGCGCAGGGCACCGTCAACAACAGCAACATGGCATATTACCCCTTTGTATTCATCATAATATGAATCAAGTAAAAGCATGCGTAGAGGAGAATCACTCCTCCCAGGAGGTGGGGGTATGCGCTCTATGACTGCAGGAAGAACTTGCTCAAGACCCTTCCCAGTTTTAGCAGATGTTAGCAGTGCATCACTTGGGTTAAGATCAAACATCGATTTCAATTGGGCTTTAACACGATCTGGATCAGCAGTTGGCTGGTCAATCTTGTTTATGACAGGTACAATTGTAAGGTTAGACTCAAATGCAAGGTAAAAGTTAGCAACGGTTTGTGCCTGGACTCCTTGAGCAGCATCAACAACAAGAAGCACACCCTGACAAGCTGCCAGTGACCTTGACACTTCATAACTAAAATCCACATGCCCAGGAGTGTCAATAAGATTCAGCAAAAATTTAGGTGACTCCTTTCCATCACTACAATTATCAACATTTATGCTGTTCTTATAGAACATTGTTGCTGTCTGGGCTTTAACTGTGATTCCCCTTTCTCTCTCCACCTAACACATTTCAAGCTTCACCAACTAAGTAACATATGACATAGAAATCAAGACATATAACATCTTCCACTAAAATTTCAGATTTTTTCATTTTTCCAACCAACCTCCCAATCCACCTCCTAGTTAGGCCTAATACATTCTTCAAAAAGCAATAATTCTGGGCAATACCCATTTCATGTAACATTGCAAAAAAGCATACCCAGATGAAAAAACTGAATTTTTTTTAAGATTATGGAGTACCTGCAATTTATCAAGATACTGAGGCTGGCCGTGACCTTTCTTAATGGTTCCAGTGAGTTCTAGAAGACGATCAGCAAGGGTGGACTTGCCATGATCAACGTGCGCAATGATTGAGAAGTTTCTGACGAGCTCTGGAGGGTACTGACTCAAATCTATGGGGCTTTTCTCTTTGGCGCTATTTTGGCGTGACTGGGAACAAAACAGTGCACGGGTCAGAGCAAAGCGTTGATGGGTTATTCTGTTGGTTAATGGGGTCAAATTGCATAACAGGGAAACGGATAGGTATTTTGACTGTCTCAAGGTCTTGGAAGCTTTGCTCAGATAACCCATGTCAGGGTTTTTGGTTTCGATTGCTGAAGCTGCGTTGTACAGAACACAGGCGAAAACCAGACCAGAAATGAAGCGAGTTATTTGCTTGACTACGACGTCGTTTTGGATGTAATTTTTTTTCTTTTTTTAGATATTCCAATCCCATCAAGAGATAAGTTATTATGCCTACTCTTGTTTTTCTTATTTTTGTCTACCTCTCTTAACACCGTTAGATTACAATCTCATCCAATGGTGGAGAATTGTGGAACAAAAAAAACCATTTTTCCCCTTTCTTATTCCTGACTGCCTCCAATAGTCTTTCTCTTTCTCCCCTTTCTCTCTATCGAGTTTATGTAATTTACAACTTAAATTTATATTTGAATCTAAATTTATTCAATGATTAATGGATTCTGCTGGATGAATATAAATTTTAAAATTCCTTGAATCTGATATAATTGAGCACGGCTCAAACCACAAAAATAAAAAAATTAACGAAAACCACAAAGAATCCCTTCATTTGAATTAATCCACGATTACAAACATTTCTATTTTGTTGTTGAAATTTGAAATCAAATTAATTTATCTCATTCTTCTTATCTTGTTTTTCATCTTGAAGTGGGGAAATGATCTCTGTTTTCTCTATGCCCAACAGCAGACCTACCTGATCCCATAACATAGGGCATCTGGGTTTGTTTCTTTTTTACACCCTTTTTCAATTTTTTATGTAAATGCTTATAACAATGATTGGGTTAGATGAATTGAGAAAAAAGCTTGCATTTTTTTTTATGCTGAAGCGCCATTGAAGAGAGAGAAAGAGGAGGAGAGAGAAATAATGAAAGGCAGTGAGAGAGAGAAAGGAGTAAAAGAGTTTATTTTACATAGCAAATCTCCATAATTGGATGAGATTGTAATCTAACGGTATTGAAAGTGGTAGGCAAAATAAGAGTAGGCAGAATAACCTATCCCTCCAATCAATTCATCGCTTTGCGATTAGTCTGATTCGGAGCGGGTTCCGAAATTAAGGTTTTAAACCTCTTCCAAAGATAGATGGTACTGAAGAGAATCGATCCACCTGCTTAGTTTCCTAGTGCCAACTGAGCTACATCATTTGGTCTCGTTATAATTTTTAGGACAAGTACAATCCCTCATATGATATATTAATGCCATAATGCTTTTCAAATCCTTCTAGCCATTATCTTATTGCAATAGTTCTTGCTAAGAAGAATGCCTATGTTGTGGCAATTCCACCCAGACTGCCAGTGATAAGCTAGAGGAAGGTGAGGATGACATTAAGTCATCATGCCCCTTATGCCTTGGGTGACACACGTGCTACAATGGTCAGGACAAAGGATCGCGATCCCGCGAGAGAGAGCTAACTCCAAAAACTCGTCCTCAGTTCAGATTGTAGGTTGCAAATACCTATAAATGGTATTTTTTGAAGAATTAATATTCTTGCTTATTTCGACGACTCGACGTTTTATGGGATCACTATCTACCAAAATTTTGACTTCTGGTTCCCGCGAACGAATAAGCATTGATAATTTATTTTGGCTTTTTGCCACATATTGTAGGGTGGATCTCGAAAAATATGAAAGACCTATTTCTAAACAACTTATTCACATTAAAATTGATTGATTTCTTCATATGCAAGATTAAAATTTCAGAAAGAGGGTAATTTTTCAGTACAGAAAAAAATAATATATTGTGTATATCCTATAGAGTGAGTTGGATTTCACCATCAAGAACGTGAGGATTTGTTTCATTTTAATTAGTGGTTTTAAGTTCATCATTATTGATAAGTGTTTGAATGATCATCTGTAAACTTAATTTTGGATGATGTTAATTTTGCAAAATTGATTTTGCCCAAAAATAATTACATGATAATTTGAGACAGTTATTTTAATGTCCAAAAATAATTGTATGATAATCTGAGGCGGTTATTTTAATTGCCTCCACAAGATAATATGAGGCGGTTATTTTAACCACCTACAAATGACAATTTGAGGCGATTAAAATATCCGCCTCCAAAAGACATTCTAAGGCAGTTTATATTAATTGTCTCCAAATAATGTGTAACCGCCTCCAAATATTAAAAATTATGTAACTTTTAAATATTAAAATTGTTATTTTTAAAAGTTAATATAATTTTTATTTTTAATATAATTTTCGAAAGTGATTAGTTAAATAACTTTTTTTTTAAAAAAATATTTTTAAAAGTTAATATAATTTTTATTAGTTGAATATAAATAACTTATTGAATTTTGTATATGTGTGTGTTAGTGTGAGATGTTATATAGAAGGGAATGGAGAATAAGGAACAAGGGCCACTTAATGTGGAACTTCAAAGTGAAGGTGAGATGATTTTTTTTTTCATGTACAACAGCCATCTTTGAAAATTTATATATAACACCAAATGATTCAACTTAAAAATCTGAACGGTCAAATTAAAGTATTACAAGAGAAGAATACACTGACTAAACTTGAGTACGATCGAAAAGCTGAACAAAGAAATTTCTCTCTTTGAATCTCACTATCCATTAGACCATGATCCGCCTCTAAATATGCTTTGGAGGTGGTTATTTTAACCAGTGGTTATTTTAACCACCTCTAATGTACATTTTGAGGCGGTTGACGTGAAATCGCCTCCAAATGTGTATTAAAGGCGGTTAAAATAAAAGCCCCATTTACCATTCAGAGGCAATTACATCAAAACTGCCTCCAATTGCTACATTTAGAGGCGATATACCTCAACCTCCTCTAAATGGTTAATGGGGACGGTTATTTTAACTGTGTCTAATATACATTTGGAGGTGGTTATGGTTTAACCGCCACTAAAAGTAGCATTCAGAGTCGATTTTGTTGTAACCGCCTCTGAATGGTAAATGAGGTCGATTATTTTAACCACCTCTAGTACACATTTGGAGGCAGTATCACGTCAACTGCCTCAAATCGATTGAACCGCCGGAAAAATTGCCTCTATGTGTCACTTAGAGGCGATTTAAGGAAAACCGCCTCAGTTAAATAGCCTGAAAATACCATTTTTCTTGTAATAAACTATTTTCTTTACGTAGAAAATATTCAAATCAAAATATCTTTTAAAAGATAGATAAACATTACACAATATAATATTGTAAAAGACATTTTGTTTTCTTTTTTTCATGTATATATAAAGGGAAAAGTATTTCGGAGATAAAGTTATCTCCAGTGAGCTCAAAGCGACGTTGTTTTGGGGTTATAAGATTAAAAAATTATAATGATAAAGACTAATATAACCCTGCAATATATTATAATTACAAAAATATCTTAATTTCTGTCTCAAAACGATGTCATTTTAAACTCACCAGAGATAACTTATCTCTATTGACTGAAAAAATCCTTTACCCATATATATATATATATATATATATATATATATATATATATATATATATATATATATATATATATAGACATTATGTTAACATAACGCATCTCTACGTGTTACAATAAAATATCCCATGATTTTTTTATTTGTAATTTTTCCTTTATCTTCTATAAGTATTATTTACTTCATTAATTATTTTATGAAGATAGATATTCTAACTACTAAAATTTTCTACTAACAACTTACTATCTATTTAATCACCATTAGATTAATATTTTCTCTCTATTCAAAAACTTTTTAACATTTTCTCTCTTTAATCCAACGGTGATGTTATGGGTAGTAAATTAGAAATGAAAATTTTTGGTAGTTAGAATATCCTCAGTATTATTTTATTATGGTCAAGCTAGTAAAGTTGCCCATGTTTTGTTATATCTCCAATCCCTTACACACAGAAGGAAAATAGTGAAATTGGTGCCGTAAAGTTGTACCCTGCAGGCGCAGTAACTGAGCTAAGTCCCTGACCTACATAAATGCAACCATCGCTGATCGAGACACCACCGTAGACACCAATGCCAGTGTCATAAGACCATAGAATTTGTCCACTCTCTGCATTTATCGCATATATTGTTCCATTTGCATTTGGGGATCCAGAAAACACAACACCATTAGCCACGCTCACTGGGCCACTTATGGTAGTAGTATTGCTAGGATTGGCTATGGACCATAGTATTTTACCATCCCTTGCATCCATTGCAACCCATCCACCACTGTTTATAGTCTTATTGGATGGCACAAGTGTGAAATTTTTAGCATCAGTGTTAGCATTGTTGGTGTAGACCTTATGTTCATCAGTGGCTGCACCCCAATTTCCCCCTCCTCCTTCACCACTCGGCCCTGCTGCCTGCATATATATATACATATTACATCATTAGTTCATATGTGTATACCTTAAAAGTTTAACTATCATATACCTTAGGTAGGTATATAAAAGGCCTATAAATTGTTAACACATAATTAAGTAATGGTTAGTAGCTATAGTTGATTAATAATAGTTATCATAAATAATGATGTATTGACTTAAAATCGACAAACTTATTCTTCCAATCATTAAAAAAAAATGTTGTGCAGGAAAATTATTACCGTAGACCATATGAGGCTACCGTTGTCCCGATTTAAAGCCCATGTAAAACCACTTTTCTGGACAGTAACAATGATGTCTTGTCTGGAACCATTTACATAAATAGTGAGCATCATTGGTGCCTCCCCAAAATCAGCATCTGGGTTTGGACCCGGAGGACAGTTAGGGGTTGATAGATTACTACATGCGGCGAACCATACATCATAGCCTCCCAACTGGCGATACCATTTGATTTTGCCAGAATCCAAATCAAGGGCCAGGATTGAATCAGAGTGGTTATCAGTCTCAACACACTCATCTGGATGAGTAGGTACTGTTTGATTGTTCTCTCGTTCTTGACATTGACTTATTCTTAATGGGACAGAGTAGAGGTTACCTGTAGCAATATATACCAAATTTCTCAATGCATCAATGGAAGGACTACTTCCCCATAAAGCAGCACCAGCATATTCTCCTTTATTGCCATGATTATCCGGGAGCATATAGGTCTGCCATAATATGGCACCAGTGTTTATGTCCAATTTGGAGAAACTGCCACGAAATGTGCAGCATTGTTCTACACTTGACGATTCTTCTGCTGAAGAAGTTCCAACGTAGAAACCCCTATGAAAACGTTACAAAAGATTTCATTGAAATATATGCACGCAATCAGATACATATTTTCTTGTTAGAGATATATAAAAATCATTAATGTATCCTCACCTAACAACTTAAGCTTTTGCGTTGAATTGATTCTTTACGATTCTAATCCTAACATAGGTAGTAGCTATATTTGGGTTAGAGAGGAGAGAGTTAGAGAGGCAAGGAGAAGTAAGAGGAAAAGAGTTCTGAGTCTTGCTTCCTTTCATTACTAAGTTTTTCAGGTTATTAAAGAATCCATCAATTACACTTTAGTTACAACCTGTTATCTAATTATTAAAAGGATTTTATAAGAGTTATGTTGTAGGAAAAATGATTATGTAATGTTATAGAGATTCGTTTTGCGTGCCATAGTTTTTTTTTTTTTTTTAAGTGTAGGCCCCACAAAATATTGTGTGTAGAAAAAATTTTCTGGTCATGTTAAAGAACAAACTAAAACCTCTTATTAAAATTGCTAATTAAAATAATTAACCCATTGGATCCATATATCTTTCTCTATTATGAAATCTTAAAGTGGGCTGGCCTCTTCACTTTCCTCTTGCCAATTAGCCCAACTGCAATTGCATCTTCTGGATGGTCCATTACACTTATTAGATACACGTCAAGCCTATAAGATTTTAAAAGTAGTTAATATTAGGGGTATTCATCAACCGATCCAAACCGATTCAAATCGCGATAACCGAACCGAAAAATTGATAACCGAATAAACCGAAAACCGAAAAAAAAACCGCAAATTTTAATTGGATTGGATCGATTTTTGGATGGGTTGATGAAAACTGATCCAATCCAAACCGATCAAATATATTAATTCCTCTCTACCTACTTGGTCTTTCTCTAATCATAGTCTAAAAATTTCTAAACCCAATTCCCATTAACCCATCAACTAAACCCAAGAAAAAATCTAATCACATCTCATCAACAAAATTTTATCTTTGTAGAGCTTCATATCTCATTGCCCAAAAAATAAAATTTATATTATAGTTTACTAATGTTTTTGTATTTAAAAAAAAAATTACAAAGCCAATATATACAAAAGATATTATTTGCAAAAAAAAATCCCCCCTGGTATTTGGCCTTTGTATTGGGCTGATTTGTCTTTATCTTGTAATTTCAGAATGATTTTATTGAATTGATCTCTTTGGGGTGTTGTTGTTAACCCCCTTAGATTACCAAAAAAATTAGGATTTTAAAAAAATTGAAAACCGATCCAATCCAAACCGAAAAAATTGGATTGGATCGGATCGGATTTGAAAAAAAATCCAAATCGAATGGATGATTATATGATCAAACCGAAGGGATTAGATCGAATCATTTTTGCTTCCAAAACCGATCCAATCCAGACCGCGAACACTCCTAGTTAATATTTCATTGAATTATTTTATTTAATTGGCATATACATATACTTTCGAAATAAAAATATATAAATATCGAATATTATATTAGATGCATATAAATTGTCTTTAGTGGGAATAATGATGACAATAATATTTTAAAATTCAATGTTTGAATTGATCACTATCTAAACTAGTCTTATCTCCATCCTTAATTTCCATATTAGTGAGATAATTAATTCTTATATTCGTATTGAAGCACTAGTAGGGAACAGGGGTAGGAGATCAGGGAAGCTGACTTTTCATTCAGAGATGTATTCCTAAAGAAACAAATGACTTGCTGGGAAAGCATAAAAACCAACACGACCAATTTTGTTTAAATATTTTTGTATAGCCACCGTTTGTAAACATAGAAAGCATCATCATCTGAGACTATTTATAAATGAGATAAAACGTTATTTCTATTGATGAAATGGCATGTTGAAATTTTATTATTGCTAGCTAAAAAAAGTATTGGCAATATGAAAGAATTTAATGAAAAAGGCCAAAGGAAAGTGTACGTACTAACCCTTTATAGTATGTTCCAGACATGGTGATAACACCAGTATTATGGCTATCCAATCGGGTCTTCCACACAAGCTCACCATTGGTTCTGTTCAGAGCAATAACAACAGCAGGGCCACATATTCCAACAACAAGTAAATCGTCACCAGCTAAACTAGGAGTTGATCTTGAGAACGAGGTATTAAGGCGTGGAATAGTGCTAGGTGATTTTATGCCTGTTAAATTTTGAATGTTCTGCTTCCACACTAAAGATCCATCATATGCTTTCACAGCATTGATGTTCCCATTCCAGCTAGGAAAATAAATGGTTCCGTTGAAAATTGCTGGTGTTGCAGTTATTTCTCTGCCTGCAGAGAATTTCCACTTCAAACGCAGGTTAGGAACCGATTTTGAGCTGATCCTGTGTTCCTTGTACGCATACCTTCTGTTAAACAAGTCTCCACCATGGTTAAACCACTCTTGTGAATCTTCTTCAAGCAACTGAAATCAAGTAAATTATATATAACAACAAATTAGCACAGTTTAGAGTATGTTTTTCAATTATATATCTACCAAGGGAAAAAAGAAGAAGAAATGATTTCTTGTAAGTTTGATTATAATATAATTCAAGAATATTAAATACTATTTAGAGGGAAAGATGGAGAGTAATAAGCATCATCTATCTTACTGCTGAGCCTGCACATGCTGTAATTATATAAAGGCAAAAGAATAGCCAACAAAGAAGAATGGAGGTTAAGTTGTTATTATGTGCTGCCATGGTTGTGGAACTTGAGATTCACTTTTCACTTGCAAGCGCCTCTTTAAGTTGATTTGTTGAGAAGGCCAATTTTAAATAAAGACGATGTAAAATTTCATATAATATGTAAATTATAATTGTAGATGGATGTGTGTCATTTTAAAGGATGTAAAATTGTATTATTTTAAATGAGAGAAAGAGATAGATCATGGAGAAGAGAAAATAAACAAAATAAAAATAAAAATAAAGGTACAGGTCTCACTTTTTTATAAGAATAAAATGACACAAGTTATATCATTTAAAAGGATAAATACTAAGATAAAAAAAAAAAGAATAAACACTTTTTCCGGTATAGATATCCAACAAGTAACGCAAGATCATTTCGATTATTATAATTATTATTTTATTTAATGCGACGACCAAACTTATGGGAAGCTGAAATTAATTATTAGACAACCAGTGTTTATCATAGTCAAACTAATACATTACTGATTAATTGGCGTTAGTTATCATCACGACATCAACAATATAAAGAATTTTGGTATATATAATTAGGTTTTATAATTCTCATGTTACATGAGAAGAGAAAATAAACAAAATAAAAATAAAAATAAAGGTACAGGTCTCACTTTTTTATAAGAATAAAATGACACAAGTTATATCATTTAAAAGGATAAATACTAAGATAAAAAAAAAAGAATAAACACTTTTTCCGGTATAGATATCCAACAAGTAACGCAAGATCATTTCGATTATTATAATTATTATTTTATTTAATGCGACGACCAAACTTATGGGAAGCTGAAATTAATTATTAGACAACCAGTGTTTATCATAGTCAAACTAATACATTACTGATTAATTGGCGTTAGTTATCATCACGACATCAACAATATAAAGAATTTTGGTATATATAATTAGGTTTTATAATTCTCATGTTACATGAGAATTAAAATTTTATGTTGTAGAGACAAAAAGTATATGTGACTTTAAAAAAAATTATGTGTAACACTCACGTCAGCACGCAAATCGAAATGTGTGTAGAAAAATTTCGATTCTCATATTGCATGAGAATTATAAAACCTATATAATTATTGTGAAGAGATAGTGATACAGCGAAAAGCATATCGTTGAATATCCAATAGTCTCGAATATTAATATAAGTGGTGGCATATAGAACAAATTGTATCAAGGTAAAGAATCATTTGGATTTGAAGTGTGAATATTATATAAGCCTAATTTTTTTGTTGGTTTACCTTATACTTATTTAAAGTGAGGACAGTAAGGATCGAACTTGTACTCATAGTGGTACATAGATGTCTCCCATGAAGGGTGAAGTATGTTGATATAGGGGGTGTCCATAATGGTAATGGTAGAGACCAAGCACTAGTAGAGCTTCCCATGTATGTGCTAAAGGGGGGAGTGTGTGTATATGACAGCATATGAGAGGAGTGAGGAAGAAGAAGATCTCCTCTCCATGTGTGAGAGGGGTATTTAGAGAGGAGAGTCCTCTCTTCATGGGGGCTTGAGCTGGTCAGCCCATGAGCTGTCTCATCAAGCTGCCCACTGTCAGTGTACAGGGGCAGCAGTGCAGGATGGGGAATGTCCCAGTGGTGAGCCTCTATGGCTTCTCATGGGTGCCCTCTAGAAGGTTCTAGAATGTGGGCTTTGACAGATTGGGCCCATCTGGTGGGCCTAGTAAATAGCATCCAGAACAGGAGCCCCCCCAGCTTGGTAGCTTGAAGGAGTCAAGGTGCCAAGATATATGGCAGCTTAGGCCGGATACCCGTAGTGTGTAGTGTTCTAAGAAGGATATAATGTAACCGATTAATAATACGTCGGCCTTCATGAGTTGTTTATTTGTTGTCGTCGAGTATGAATTGTCTGTCTGGCGATGCTTAAGTGCTTCAAGAGAGTCTTCTATTTGTGGCTTGCAATTGTGTTGAACTTTGTTGTCTTCAAAGATGCATCTTGTTATTGAGGAAGGTCTTCAAATGTTGTTGAAGTAGTAATAATTTAGTTGTAAGAATAAGCTGGCAAGACCATGTTGAATCAAGTATCCTGTAGATTTAAACAGCTGCAATAAAGATGCCTTGAGCGTCTGATAATAATCAAATAATGTTGTAGATGAAAGCTTGAAGATCCTGATGATATATATGTATGCTCCGTTCTTCAACAATAAAACTCGGCGGTATGAATGTATGATAAATAATGCCCAGTGACTTGGGTCTTTGATGTCTAGTTGCTCAGATATGTTGCTCCATGATCATGTTTAATAACTGAAATAAAGATGTCTTGACCGTCTGATAAAATAATGTTGTAGATGAGATCTTCTGGAGAGGATAATTGTTCCAAGAGAGAGAGTCCGTTCTTCGGAAATAAAACTTGCTGATGAAAGCTTCTCGAGAAGAGAATGTGTTCCCAGAGAGAAGGAGACTGAGAGTCTTTATAGATGATAAATATGTATGTTCCTTTCTTTGACAACAAAGCACGACAATATGAATGTATAATAAATAATGCCCAGTGACTTGGGTCTTTGACGTCCAGTTGCTCCAATTTAAATCCTGCAACAACTAGTATAGTAGTGTATGAATGACGATAAAAATGTGCCTAGGTGGGGCGTTGGCCCGACGCCGACCATCTAGGACTTTTGCCGAGGGGTAGCACATCTCGGACTTTATTAACCGAGGGTGAGAACCATCCCGGCCTTCATAGTGTACCGGGGGTGAGAACCGTCCCGGCCTTCATAGTGTACCGGGGGTGAGAACCGTCCTGGCCTTCGTAATTACCGGAGGTGAGAACCGTCCCGGCCTTCCGAATTACCGGGGGTGAGAACCGTCTCGGCCTTCATAGTATACCAGGGGTGAGAACCGTCCTGGCCTTCGTAGATTATTTAAGCAATTCATGTGGAATTTATAATCATATGAAATTTATAAAGATGCGGTAGAAGAGAAACATGTATATGCTAGTGAATAGATGTTGTTGCCTGGTGTTGAAAATAAAACCTGAGCATGTGAATGTCATTGGGCACTTGGCATACCAGTGTTGATTGGATAACTTTTAGTTTGTTGATGAATGTTGGTCTTCCTGTTGGCGTGATGTAATGTTGGCCTCCCTGTTGGGCGTGATGAAATCTTGATCTCCATGTTGGGCGTGATGAAATGCTGGCCTCCCTGTTGGGCGTGAGAAATTCTGGTCATCCTGTTGGGCGTGATGGAAAGCTTGGTCTCCATGTAGAGAGGGCTGAAATGCTGGTCTTCCTGTTGAACGAGAGGGAGAATTGACCTATACATGTTGGGAGGGCTAAAATGTTGGTCTCCCCGTTGGACAACTTTATGTTCACGTGGGTGACTAGAAATATACATGCTAATAAATTAGCATTCTTTTTATGCTTTCCTAGATGGGCCCGCCACCTTATCAATTCACGTGCAAATTGCTTGAAGTTGAATTGTCAAATTGCTAGGCTTTCCAAAACTTCACGAGCTCCAAGTAAATAAAAAAGCCATGCTCACGGGTCCCACGATTTAATGAATTCAAATTCATTAATTCAACTTCTACGGGAGTTGTTGTGGCAGCTTTAGGTGGAAGAAAAGTGAGCAAATTTCTTAGCACGTGTGGGTCCCGCGATTGATTTTCTTATTTTTTGAGACGCCAACAGTTTTAGCACAAGGGCCATTTGGGACTCAAATTCTTGCACCGCTTCAAGCAAAACTATCACAGAGGAGGCCATCAGCGATGAGTGGATCTTACCTCCATGGCTCGGTCCTTCACCAACAGCGCGAGATCAGTGATCTCACCCCCATGGGCGGTTGCCTGCTTTTGGCGGTGAGATCTTCTTGGGCGGTAGGTGGCTGGCGGTCGCCATCCTTTTGGCGGTGGATTTTACGGAAGACTTGGGCGATCTTTGAAGCACTTTCCTTGTTTGGCGGTTGATATTTTGGGAGATCCAACTTTTATTCCGGGTTAGGTCTTATTTGGGCGATGTACTGACGGTGTGGTTGGCGATGACCGGCGAAGGGCTGCCATTGGCGACAGGCGAGGGGCTGCCTTTGGCGATGACTTGATGCTCGGCGAGTGTGGTTTCTGGGCGATTGTGCCCATCGGTAAACTGAATGTGTGGTGGTTGCCGGAGAGAGGTTCTTGGAGCTCTATTTTGTTGAGTTTTTGAGTTTGGTCAGTCTAAGGAGTTTGATATATTGGGCGGTTGTTTCTTCGAACGACTGGTGGGCGATGGTTCCGCTGCAAATCTGCGCGGGATGTGGGCGGTGACAGGTAACAGTGTTGAACCGATGGGGTGGGCGGCAGGCGAGAGAGAATCATTGTGGGCGACCGGATAGGTAGTTTGGTGATTGGTTGTTTGAAGTGTTGGGCGACTGACTCTGTTTGGGCGAATGGCTTTTGGCGACACAGGGCGATTGGCTTTTCTCTTTGTCAGTTCATTCTTTTGGGCGATTATCCTTTCTGTTTGATGAATCACCCGTGAAGAGTGGTTCACGCTCTGGCTTCGTTCCTTGCTAGTTCTTCTGGTCGGTTAGGGGTTGAAGATGAGTGATGCCGACCGACAGGAGGTCGGACTTGGATCATCAGCATTCATGCCGGCATGTTGGACCAAGTGAGCTGCTGACCGGTTATGTTGGGTGATGGTGTTAATATGCTGGCGATCTCTCTTGGCGTGATGTACCCATGGTTTCAAATAGCCAAATTTGCTTCAACTAGCCAATATGTACGTGCCATGAGGCAATAATTCCAAAGGCTCCAGTAAGCTTTGACAGATTTAGACTTCCTTTTTGATGTGATAGCACGCAAGCGTAAATGAAAGCTCGTTGTAGGTCCACACGAGGCCCACCGCCATGAAGTCATTCATTAGTACGTTATATACATGTGCAGTATGTTCACAAAAGCAAAGCATGAAATTGATAAGCCTTGGCAAAACATTGAATTGATATATATGTAAAGCAAGTAAAGATGATGCACAAAGATGATGGTCTCAGTACTTGGCTTTCTAATAGCTTGTAGGTGCAGTACGTTGGCTTTTTATATATGCCATGCTATATTAAATTGATACATATAACGAAAGTGAAGGAGCAAAGGTGTAGGCACGTGGCAAATCATTGAAATCGAAAGCGACACACGTTCACGAAAAAAGCACGGGTGCATGCATAGGCAAACTATGAAATTGATATACGAAAGCCAAGGTGTAGGCTTTGGCATAATGGTTTAAACAAAAGCAAAGGTGGATGCAGTGAGAAAACCATTAAATTGAATGAAAGTGATAAGAATCTTCAAAGATGTACCTTTGATAACTTACTGTCAAGTTACGTACTTAAAACATCATGCTTCAAAACTTACGTATTTAAACAGCTAGTGGTTCAATAGATGAGAATCCACGGGCTCCATGGTGATGATGGATATGTGGTTTGTCCATTTGCTTTCACGGACTTCAAGGCGGGAGATTATAACGGCAACAACTCAACTTAATTTCTTTGAAAATTTGCTTTGCTCTTCAATTTCTTTACCAATTGTTTGGTGGTGGGTCCGCTAGCATTTTCCCTAATAATCACTTTGACCATATTCTTCAGCTTTGTATTGATATATATAATATACTGTGAAATTGTCGAACTTTGCTTGATAAGTGGCGGGTCCCACGGGAACTCTGCTGAACTTTGCCAGTTTCATGTCTCCGATTTAATGTATTGGAGTAACTTTAAAGAGTGGACTCCACCGTGGGGGTAGCTTTGAGTTACGTACTTTGATTTGACTCTACGTTGAGGTGACAACACAGGCACATTCTTCAAAACTGCCACCAGAGCAGTTTGTTGTTTGGAGGCAGCTTTGAGCCCATATATTCTCTGATTTGGTTATGTGACGGGGTCCACAAATTGGATTTGTACGATTTAGAGGAGGAAAGAGGTATACCGTTGATAAACCTTTACCAAGTAGGAGATGCTTAAAAAACGTTTTCTCCAAGCCTTTGAGAAAGTGGGTTCGTCATCGTTCTTTTCTTATCACTGTGGATCTTTAGGCTTAACGACAGGGATGCTTGGTGGATGATGGTGTGGGCTGGTCTAGTCGGTTGTGGATGATGTCACAATGGGCGCTGATGGCGTCGCGGTGAGGCGAGTTCAAGTGCTCAGGCTTCAAGGCAGATGAAGTAGCTACGAGCGATGATGGCGTCAGTGCTTGGAGATGGGTAGGTGATATGGTTGGACATCTAACCGTGACCAGCAGGGGCGGGCAGGCATCATGCTTCAAGGCGGTTGGATTGTTTTACGCTTGGAGTTTATGGCGTTCGGTTCAAACGGTAGTGGGGCGTTAATTTGTCATATAATATTGTTCCTTTGAAGAAGACCATCGCGCGTGTCACCGCGGTGCAGTAGGATTCAATTTGATTTGCTAGATGTTC